GACAGAATCTGCTGCTGCCTGGATGTTCCATTTGGAGTTGAAATTGCTTATATCCAAAAGTAAGTCTTATTTTTGGTCTGACCTTGAAAAAATTTGGGGAAGTTAGTCATCAGAATAAAAAACTGGATAACAACTAATTCTGTGCCTCAAAGGTTGTTCAGCTTTAAGTGAAGAGGTAGGAAATTAAGTCATTCTAAGAAAAGAGGACTCTATGAGTCAGCACTTAACAACAACAAAGAGAAACATGGATCCTTGGGCCATGCAAATAATTAAGCACTAATTTTCTAAACTAAAGGTTGCTGGTTCAAACCCACCTAGAGAGGTCTCAGAATAAATGACTGGTAACCAGTGTCTGAAGGGTCACAGCTGTTCAAAACTCTGTGAAACACAGTTCTATTCTGGTATACATGGGATCATCATGAGTTGGAATGGACTTGACAGCAACTGGTTTGCTTTTGTAGAAATATGTTGTTGTTGTTAAGTGCCATCGAGTTGGTTCTGACCCGTAGCGACCTGAACAGGGTTTCCGAGGCTGTAAATCTTTATGGGAGCAGAAAACCTCATCTTTCTCCCATGGAATTGCTGACCTTGCAGTTCACAGCCCGATTCCTAACCACTACTCTACCAGAGTTCCTTTTTGTAGAAATATACATGCAGTCTTATTTCTTGTGGGCCATTGTCCCAAAAGAAGTTGTGATACCTGCGATTACATAATGGTGACAATGTTTTCAAAGTGCTCTTCTTGAGCATGAAGACTCAATTCTGTCTTCAATGTATTCTTATGTCCAAAGATGAACCTCTAGATAAATAAAGGGGAAATTATTTTGTGACCATTTCCTATTAATCTGTTTTCCTGGGATATATTGAAAGTTCAAGAAAAGAGGATTTTAAGGAGTCTTCTCTACTCATTGTATAACTTCTGGACTTTCTGAGGACTAACTTCCTATAAATGTCTAGACTGAGAGAGATAATTTGTTATAGTGGCAAGTAGGGCATACCATTTATGAGGGTAAATGAAAAAGTATTGCTGCAGAATTATAGAAACCTCTATTAAACAAAAATATAGAAATGTGAAGCTGTTGTTTCTCATAGCTCTATTCACTTCTGAAGTCAGTATTTCCTTCTCTCTAAACTTCTTGGTATGGTGCTGTAGAACAAGCACTGAACTGCAAATCACAAGGTCAGCGGTTCAAACCCACCAGCCTCTCCTCAAAAACTCTATATATGTGGTTGATATGAGTTGGAACTGACTAGAAAGTACTGAACAATAACAACAACCCTTCCTGAATTCTGCACTCTTTGATTTACACCACATCATAATGGAAGTTTGGGCATTCTCAAGGCATGCAAATCATGTTCCTTTTAAATGCTTTTTAGCTTGGGGAACAAAACAAAATCTGAAGGGTCAGTTCAGGGGTGTTGAGTGAATGAGGTCAGGTTTTCCAATGAAATTTCCATAGGACAGCCTTTGCTACTCTCCACTAATGAGCAGGTGCATTACTATAATGATTAAAAAAAAAAAAAATTCCTTGTACAACTTTTCTGACCTTTTTTTTCACCAATTGTTGTTGTTGTTATGTGCTGTGGAGTCGGTTCCGACTTACAGCAACCCTGCACAGGGTTTCCGAGGCTGTTAATCTTTACGGGAGCAGAACGCCTCATCTTTCTCTCGCGAAGCAGCTGGTAGTTTTGAACTGCTGAGCTTGCGGTTCGCAGCCTGATTCGTAACCACTACGCTACCAGAGCACCAATTACATTTTCAAATTTCTTAAAAATAGTTTCAAAGTAAGCCCTATGATCATCCTGTGTCCTTTGAGAAAAGTCTATCAGGATGATGTCTTTGAAATCCCAAAAGTTCATTACCATAAACCTCTGAGGTTACTCTCTGCCTTAAATGTAACTTGCCAACAGATCCCCTTGGAAGCCACTGTTTTGTTTTGATGAGGTGTTTTAATTTTGAAGGATCACCAGTATGATGAAGATCAGCATATAACTGAGAGAACTTGTTTACAGCCAATCACTGATCACAGAGACATGTCTAAACATATTTTGTTTGAAATAAACTCATGAGTGTATGAACTGGAACCTTAGTAGCAATAATTTTTATATTATCCTCATAGTTCTAATTCTATATAAAATTAGCTTCTACAAAGGTAAATGTGACTGTATGGTCTAAAGCTTTATTCTTCAATATCCTAAGAATGAATGTATATCACTCTGTTTTTTAAGATGAACTAAAATAAGATTTGGTCCTGTTTTAGTGCTAAATTTTCTTGTTGCTCTGTATTCTCAACTATTTATCAAATGAGTTTAAATTGTCAATATTCTAATTAGTACACACAGCTCCATGTATAGGGAATTGACTTACACACATGATGGAAGATGGAGATGATATTGTTGATGGTGCTGGATGTGACACATTGTTGATGTGTCTTGAATCCTCAGACCAGGAAGAATGCATGAAAGAATATGAGACAGCTTCTAGTCTGTTCATCTGCCTTGCCAAATAGATAAGAAAATGGAGGATTTAGGGAAGTTGAGTGACTTGACCAAGTTCCACAGTTGACAGTGGCCAGGGGCTTAAACACACTCACCTCTGCAGTCTTCTCTGATCTAGACACTCCCATTTAGTCAAGCCAAGTCTAAATTTTAAATAATTGTGCCGTAGAATACTGGATTCCAGCAAACACTTCTTAGTTATGTACTGGGCAAAGGTGATGCTTTAGAATCCTACTAGCCTGTCATTGGCATTGCTATGATATAAGAATTCAACATAAGCCTCTCTGTGGTTATTTCTTCTCTTCAGTGTATAAATCTTTGGCACTGGGAGTATTAACATAAAAAGGATGGATTGACTTCCGACTATAGGAAATAAATCACCTCAACTTTTGACAGCAGTGTTAGAAAAAAAAAAAAGAAAAGATGAATTGGTTTTATTTAGTGGCTTATTGTTTATTGTGATAGCTATTAAAAATAGATAACCAGAGGCTAATAAATGTTAATGGTCCCTTCACTATTAGAAAAAATCAATTGTCAGTGGATATAGCATATATTAATATATTATTTTGTTTATAATCTTCAATAGAACAAAAAAAAATCTTCCCCGGGAGAATTGTTTTTTTGGGGGGGACCCTGAAAAAAAAAGGTTCATGGTTACTACAAAGAACAGACTTGGTAGGAAGTCCTTTTCATCTATGTATAATTTTAATGGTTTTTAAAGCATTATGTTATAATTGTAATGAAATGCATGTGTACTTTGTCAAGATTGATAAACTCCTTACCAAGGACTCTTATATATTTCTTTGAAACTTGTTGGAGAGCAGTTAGATAGATTTCTAAATGTAAGTAATTAAAATTGTATAGTATTGAGTTATTGACCAATCCTGGACTATTAATCAAGCTAAAAAATTCTACAATCAGTGCTCAGTGTGCTGAAGCCTGGTAAAATAATAGTATTTGTGTTCAGTGAGGCAAGTAGCCACAATTAAGCACCTCACTTGACAAATGAGAGGGTACACTTTATTTTGCACTTAATTGAATTGTTGTACATGCTTGGTCATCATTGTCTCCTAACCCTTCATTTTGGTTTCTAGTCATTGGGAGCTTATGCATTTGTTAAAGGTAGAACAATTAAGTCTACAGCCGGGAATGTCTGGGCCACAAAACAGGGCTTCACAAACGCTATTACTATAGTTCATGACATTATTAATTTTCATATCAAAAATGTTTGATAAACAAATTAGAGCCCTGTCAAGAAATGATGTGAAATAGCTTTGAATTGGGAAAACTCCTCATGGTTTACATCACTTACCAGATTCTGCTAAAGTAAGCAGAAGAACTTCTGTAGAGACGACAGAATTTTAATCTATTTTATGAAAACCAAAAATTGATTTACTTCTTGCAAGTTGGAAAGAATGTTCTATGATAATCTTGCTAATTATCAGGTATTTGTCATAACTCCGTCTCATTTGTCCTTGTATCAGAATCATCCTTCTGCAAGCATAGTGGCACCCCTTCATTTCTGCGCTGCCATAAATCATTGTTTGCTACCTGGTTAAACTGGGGAGCTGAGGTTCAAGAAAAAGACCCAATGGGCAACTATTGGGGGATGGTTAGCAGCTAGAAGGCAGATGCGTTTCAAGATCAGATTTATTTTTAAAAAGAGACATATCTTGGTGTGCAACTGTGTTTATGCAATGCCAGTGGTTATGCTACCAACAGAACACAAGCAGTTTGGTATGTATTAAATTGTACCTGCACTTGCTTACTTGCTTGTGTGTTTGCCTAACACATAGAATATGGTCCAAATGTTCTAGAATGACATTTATATCAAGATCTTATTTCCTATGAGGACAGTTCATCTGAATTGATTTGATGGAGATTATAGTTACTTTCACTGTCCTAAAGGATGATTGTAAAGAATGCACTGGATAATTGATTGTAAAGCACTTTGAAAAGTCAAAAATGCCATTGGAGCAAAAGAGACAATTAACTGTTTTTATCTTTTACCATTCTTCCTAGTCAGTCTGTATTTCAATGGACACAAATATATATAATACTTGCCTTTGTTGCTGTTAAGTGCCGTCGAGTCGTTTCTGACTCATATCAACCCTTTATATCGTATAGAGTTTACAAGGAGAAGCTGGTAGGTTTGAACTGCCAACTTTGCGGTTCGCAGTCCAGTGCTGATCTCACAGCGTCACACCAGAAGTCCAATATTTGCCTAAGGAGGGATAAAAACAAGAAATTAATGTTTCTTGAAATGGCATGACTCATACTGGGAAGGAATTTTCGTCTGGGAATTCATCTGTCTCAGCAGTCCTGTGCAGTTAGTTCCAGTGGCAACAAGGAAACCAGTGGGATCCCAGCCCTCAGGGCTCTATGGTCCATTTTTAAAAACTGAGAAATATTACTCAGAAGTTTTAGGCTTTCCACATGGTGATGAATTCCATTGACTGACATAGAACATCATGAACAGGCAGTCTCTTTATTTATTTCAGACCCTACCAATGCGGTCACTGCTCCCAGTCCTTTTCCCAGCCTTCAGAACTGAGGAACCACGTGGTCACACACTCCAGTGACCGGCCTTTCAAGTGTGGCTACTGTGGTCGTGCCTTTGCTGGGGCCACTACCCTCAACAACCACATCCGAACCCACACTGGAGAAAAGCCCTTCAAGTAAGTAACTGTTAACCCTTTTCTCCTCTTGTCTCTTTCTTGTAGACTCTCCCGAGAGCCAGTACTGTGATACAGTGCTGCCCAGCTCATCTTGCTGGTTGTTGTTGTTGTTGTTGTTAGGTGCCATCGAGTCGGTGCCGACTCATAGCAGAAAGAAACACTGCCCGATCCTGGGCCAACCTCACTACTGTTGCCACACTTGAGTCCATTGATGCTGCCACTTGGCCAATCCATATCATTGGGGGGTCTTCCTCTTTTTCTCTGACCCTCCACCTTACCAAACATTGTGTCCTTTTCCAGTGACTGGTCCCTCCTGACAATTTTTATTTGGAAAATTAATGTCCATGCATCAAAAGGGTCTACTTGTTTAGTGAAAAAATGTGAAAAATGTAATCAGAAAACCTATATACTTGTCGTGGTTCGAATTGTGCAGTATTGGGCATGGGACAATTTTCTGGGTCTGTGTTTCTCATCAGTAAAATAAGGAGGTAGGAGTAAATCATTTTAAGATTATTTAGAGTTCCTGAGGATCTGAAGATTTGACTTACAACCATCAGTAAGACTCATGACCCTCAGCAAGGTGACCGCAGTTTATCGTCATCTGAAGAATCTTCTCTTGGGATGCTTGAACCTTTTAGGATTCTGGTGGACTATTTCCTTCTCTTTCCTATGTGTTACAGAAGTTTGAATATATTATAGCAGCCAATCTGTGACTTTTCAGTGTCCCATTGGACCTCAGAATAACTGATGAAAAATTACATCTAGACGCAGGGCATGTCAAAGTCCTTGAGGATTCTGAAAATATGGCAAGAGATAGAATTGAATTTCAAGGGCTTTGGCAAGGCCAGGGCACCTGATGGAGACTGTATTTCAAGATATATCAGTCATGAAAAATGTTAATCCGAGTTATGCTAGATTACCAGTTCACGTCTTTATTCATTTGTTCATTTATTCATTCATTCATGTGTTCATTCATTCAGCAAATATTTCTTGTGCACAAACTCTTGTACTAGTCACTCTGCTAGGACAAGGGATACAGAGGTGAATCAGATTTTGCTCCTGCCTTTGAAGACCTTAGAGTTTGTGGAGAAGCCCAATGAAAAAGCATTACAACATAGGTTGGAAAGTACAGCAATAAAGCCTATGTATATGACGTTTCAGAGTAGCACAAAGATGAAGCAATTAGTACTATTTGGGGGCATATTTTAAGATGTGTATTGAAGGATGAGTCAGAATTCGCCAGACATTCATAGTGAAAGAGGTACTTCTTGCAGCTGAAACAGCATGTGTCAAGGCTTTGACTTGTGAGCCCCCATGTGTGACTGGTCAGTGGTCATGGAGCTGTTTCTACTGTATGTGCAATGAAATCTTTCCTGTTCAAATCTCTTACATCTTTCAACTTATTTCCTATCCTGGTCTTCCCTGTTTAAGAAGAAAAATTAGAATTGATGTTATTTTCCTTCTGTAGGACAAGATCAAGCAAGAGAGAAAATGTGGCAGGCAATAAGAAATAAACATGTTCAGCCACAACCATAAAGTTTTTCTAAAATCTCGTTGATTTCCCCTCCAGACTTAGCATGATGGTTTTTCACTGTGGTGCTCAACCTGAGACCAGTTTCTGCTCTGGATAGGAGACTCCAAGCTAGAGTTCTGCTGCTGCTGGTCAGTTTCTTGACCACCTCTGTCTACCAGCAAACAAGTTCATAAAAGACTGTCAGCTTCACTCACCTGCCCAAGGATTAGACACCTCCCATTCATCGTTCTTGTAGATCCCCTGGGTAGCACAAAGAGCAAAAGCAGGAGCTCTGGTAGTGTAGTGGTTACAAGTCAGGGTGCCAACCGCAGGTCAGCAGTTCAAAACTATCAGCAGTTCCGTGGGAGAAAGATGAGGCGTTCTGCTCCTGTAAAGATTTACAGCCTTGAAAACCCTGTGCAGGGACACTATGAGTCGGTACTGACTTAACAACAACATTAATTGAAAAGGTGGTGGCTCAAACGCACACAAAGGTGCCTTGAAAAAAGACCTGGTGATTTGCTTTCTCCTGAAAGGACACAGACAGGAAAATCCTAAGGTGAAGTTCTGCTCTGCAACAAATGGGGTCACCATGAGTCAGAACCAACTCAAAAGCAACTGGTTTGATTTTTATTTGGTTTCGTCATCATTCTTAACTAAGTTCCATCTTGGCTTAATTTGTGTTCTTGATTAATAATAAAACAAGTGATACTTTTTTTCTGTATACATAGATATAGGTTGTTCATGGCATAAGGACATATGGCTGAGAGGGCACAGTGGAGCCAAAAATCAAGTGGGCATCAGGGTAGCCAAGCCATCAAAAGGGAGATGCTTTTCTCTATTCTCTAATCCACACAAAGGTGTCAGACGGTCTAGCACAATTCTTGGAGTTCCGTATCTCAGGGGTTTTTGCCATAATCTATTCAGTAAACTCTGTCATCACCATCATCTGACTTTCAGGGATAGGGGATGGGGCATAGATTCTGACATCACCACTGCTCTGAATGTGGAAGACAAGAATTGCATGTTTCCCATGCCTTTGAGCAAGACAGTTTTTTAAAAGCTGAGTTGCAGGAGAGCTGAGAATCCTTCTGGCCACTTATATCAGAGAGGGCAGCCAGACAGATACCGTGCCAGGAATCAGATTGATTTTTATCTTGTTGCTGTGTAAATAGATTTTAGTAATTAATTGAAGAGGTTCAGGGTCAAAATGGGAAATAGATTTCTATTAATGTTAAGGTGTTACTTATGTGTAACCTCGTTGACTCCACTCAACTTTTTTTCTTTAACATCCTGTTTTTGTCATGTTTTCAATAGAGTTGCCATTTTAGCTCAATTTTAATTCTTCAGATTAATATTTGAAGGGCTTTAGTGATTGTGAATTTGGTTTTGTTTTTTTTTCCTGGAAAAGTCTTTTTTGGGACTATAACCTAAACCTAATTTCCTTTGGGGGAAGGGAAGGAAGCAACCAGGTTGGTTGGCTTCAATTCTGTGTGCCTGCTTTAGTTCTTTCTGTTCTTGTCTTATTGTCCTTCTGTAGGACAAGATCAAGCAAGAGAAAAGTGAGTCGGTCAGTAGGTTTTTTTCTTTGACTTATCAAATATATATTTCCAGGAGAGAGCTGAGTGTATGCTTATTTTAAAGTACAAGATTTAAATGTCTTCTAGGAAATGGAAAGTTAAATCCTTTAGTGTATACAACCAGGTCTTTTAGGATTGAACTGTCCCAAGGGAATTTGGGGAATCTTCCAAGCATGGATCATGGATTTCCATTCCATGGACAATTGTAAATATTATGATGATATCCTTTAACAAGCTTATAAAACAAACATTAAAAAAAAAAAAATTTGTTGCAGATTAGTCATTAAAATGGGTTTTGCCACACAGTTAATTTTACTACTACTTCAACTAATGGGTATTGGCTTAAACAATGTTTCAAAGAAGGAAAAGAATCTTGTAAAGATATACAACCCTAAACTGTACACCTTGGGAAACTTCCAAATAAACCTTCCAAAAAAAAAAACCCTAAAATGTCCCACTCACCCAGGGCCCAGAAAACCTTCACTGAATTCTCAGAGACAAATCTCAGGGAAGGGGGAAAGCCTTTCTTGACTTCTAAAATCTTCACCTGAAATTTACTAGGTATAGTAAGATTATTACAAACCAAAGAAGGCTGGAGAAGACTTGCCATTAAACGGTCAGAGTTTCCGTCTAGGCTTAGCTTTGCTCTCTGATTGTCTGAAATCCCCCGGAAAGACTCCATTCCTAGAGCTGAAAGTAAATCACAGGCTGGACAGCAACTAACCCAGGCTGTAGACACAGAATTTCTTTAGGTAAATGAGCACATAGATAACAGAACATCAAAGGATCAAGTCTTGACTTTCAGTTTGTGCTGTAAAACTGGAAGTCGTGGGGAACAAGGAGCAAAAACAAGTCATCATTTCTATTATTAATAATTGCAAAACACTTGATTGCCAAAAAGGAGCACTGGTGTGGCACTGTAGGATAAGCATTGGCCTGCTAACTGCAAAATCCGCAGTTCAAACCCACCAACCTCTCCAAGGGAGAAAGATGAGGTTTTCTGCTCCCATAGAGATTTACAGCTATGGAAGCCCTATACAGGGTCACTATGAATTGGAATCCATTAGATAACAGTGAGTTTTTAGGTTATAGAAAAAAGGAAGGAAGAGAGGGAGGAATGAAGCAAAGGAATGAAGGGAAGAAGGAAGAAAAACAGGAAGTTGTCAGTCTAGAGAATCTTTACAGTGAAGATTCCTTTCTTCTTCTGTGCCTTTAAAAACTCTCAAGATCTCAAATATGCTTCTCTACCTGCCTCTTAGAGGTTCCACATGAATGGCTCAGTGCCTGGCTTCTGATCCTGGGATACTGCAAGAGCAAGTCAGGACTTTCCTTAAGAGGTGTTCTTCTCTTCACCTTTGTTAGGAATAGGTGGGAGTACTCATCACTACAGTTTTGCTTTACATAAAGATGATTTGGCTCAGTAGGGAATCCCAAAGGACCACTGTTGTTTGAACAAGATCTAGGCAAAACCAAAACAAATCAGTAAATATGGATTGAGCACATCATATATGTGAAGCCCTGTGAAATTTGGTCCATTTCTAGAAGTGTTTGGTGGCTTGTAGAGGCACAGAAAGTTCATTACGGGTTTTCTGTGGAACAGAACTTTCCATGGGTTTGCCTGTCTGTCAGTCTAAGGCAGTAATTGTTGAGTTTCCTGTAGCTATAATACAATCAACCATCACATGAAGTAAAGAATTGTCTCAAGTCTAAAAGAAAATCAAGGTTAATTACCAGTAGAACGTTGGAGACTTTCCTTTGCTGAAATGTTTGGAAGACTTCCCACTTCAGTGTTCCTGCATGTTCCTTTCAAGGCTGTAACAACAGCAGCTGTGCTAAGAAAGGGCACACTTAGGGAAGAGATCTGTGCAAGAGCATTTCCTTCCTCCAAACTCATCACCGTCTCATTCACTTGCTGATGTTACTGAACGGTGCGGTCAAGTTGATTAGAACGCATAGCTACTCCATGTGCCAATGTAGAACTGCCCTATCGGGTTTTCTTGGCTGTAGCCTGTACAGGAGTAGGTCATCAGGATTTCTCTCTCACAATGCCGCTGCATGGGTTCAAACCACCAGACTTTTGGTAAGCAGCCAAATGCTTACCCACAGTGCCACCAAGGCTCCTTGTCTTATTCAATTATTCCATCTCCACCTGAATCCAGGCTTAGACATACTCATACCCAGTCACTTGTTTGGGATTGTAATTTAGTGTTATTTAAATGCTAACCAACTGAAGTCAGAGCTCTGGCCTGCTTTGTTGTTGTTATTAAGTGCCATGGAGTTAGTTCCGACTCATAGCGACCCTGTACTCATTCCGAGGCTGCAAATCTTTATGGTAGCAGAAAGCCTCATCTTTCTCCCATGGAACAGCTGGTAGTTTCGAACTGTTGACCCTGAGGTTTACAGCCCGATTCATAACCACTACGCTACCAGAGCTCTGGCCTGCTAGCACCTAGTTAAGGTAGGTTTTTAAAATGAGTTTCACTAAACTTTGAGAATATTTTGTGAAGATATTTAAAAAAAAAACAAACTGAAGACAATGAACATGAAACTGAAGCCCTTCACAAGTTTTTTAAAAGGCATTTTTATATCTAGTCCCCATTGCTTCCTCAAACAAACAACTTGTATTATTAAAATTTCCAAATGACATAGATACTATTTCTGGTAGCCCACTTTTCTCAAGAAGACAGAAATTTCTGTGGAAAGAACCTAAGCTAAGGTAATTTTCTACACATCTGTATGTATTTTTGCTCACAGTCGGTGAGCAGGTGGCACTAGGGATGATTTTTCAACAATCATCTTCTTGCACACCCTGTAAACCAGACTTACTATATTTTATGAGTATCACAACAAATTGTTACATGCCTGTAAATGTATGTAAGCATTTAAGCAAACACATGAGAAAAATTTGACTCTCGTTTTAATATCTCTATCCAATCTGGATATTTAAATATAACACATAATAAGGTTTGGGCCTTATGTGAGGCACTAACCTTCCTATTTATGAACGCTTGATATTCTAATAGAGTGGATTAGAAGAGCAAAATCATGACTCAGGTAAATTGTCATTCCTCATAATTGCTTAAATTACTCTACTTTCTTAGAAATTGATTCTAGAGCATAAAAAAAGGAATATAATAATTTGAAAGTTTGTCAAGCAGTGAAAGGTAGTATATTCTGACACACTAATCCAGCAACTAATCAGTTTTCTAATAAATAATCAGCAATTCACTAATGTGTCATCAGCACTTCAGGAGCTCTGGAGAGGGGATGAGCTGCCCGTGGACGTTAATGAATACACCAAAAATCATTAGGTGATCAATACTTCTGAGTTATTTTCATTGAGCTGATAGGTCTGACACATTAAGGCTGACATAATGCATTTGTCAAGATCACAGTGTAGTTTTTAACAGAGGAACAGGCTGCTAAACATACTTCCCGAAAAACAATCAAAGAAACACAACTTCGTCACACTAACACTTTGCAGACTCAGAGTCCTGAGAATCTTAGTGCAAGAGTCAAGCTCCGGCCTCCTAACATTCAAAGGTCCCCATGGTGGATGAATGTTTAATATTTCATAGCAATTATTTCTGTGGTAAGGTACCTTCTATAATTTAATAAGGAAGAGAAATAGGAGGGACATACACCACATAATGGGGCTTGTGGGCCACTCATTCAGTGGTTTTCAGTAGGTCAGAGGGCACTTAGTGGCTTTCGTCAGAACCCTAATAGTACAGGGACCAGAACCACAGAGGTTGTATTATTAAAAGAGGGACAATTGTGCAGCTCCTCCTGAATACAGTCTTCTTCAAAGATTTGAAGAGAGGACATTAGGGGGTGGCTCAAGTGGCCATTGTGCCCTGAAAAGTGCTTGGCCAGTGCTCCTAGCAACTCCGGCATGAAGGGTGGTGACAGGGTCATTGTGTGCACTGCTTTTCCTGTCCAGTTCACCTCTGCATATGTGTACAGCACAGACAACAAGCCAGAGACAGCAGCAGAAAGACTCGAGCCCCCATTAGGTTTGTTTGTTTTGGTAGACTATGCAACCATCAGACTAGTGCCTGTTGTATGGGAGATATAGAAATGGGAGATAGGCCCAGATTGCATTGTTTCTGCTTCCTTTTTTTAAGTTAAGGAGAGGAGATGTTCTTAAAGTGGTGAATTATTTTCTCCTCAGCAAACATATTAGCTCACATGTACATTACTTCTGTTGTACTTTCTGAAGAGGTGAACTTCTTGACCTCCACAAACATCCATTGATTTCTGGTTCCCGAGTTCTTTCTTACCTCAGCATTCTTCTATTCTAACCCTAAACATGGTTAGGCTGGAATATTCTAACTAGCTTTTGCAAAAAAGAAAGAAAGAAAGAAACCACCCAAGCCCACCATCCCGTAGTCATGGCAAACTAATGTCCTGTTTCCTCTGCTTTCCAAATCCAGAGATGATCGCTCTTGGCCTGCTATGCCGAGGGGAATAAAATTCCTGATTTTAAATTAGCAGCAGGTGAAATTCTATTTGTCATCAATTTCTCTTTGGGGTTATGGAGGAGAAAACTGCAGACAAGCTGCTGCTTTGATGGCTCACTCCTAAAAATCTCTTTTTGTTCTTTATCTATTTGAACTGACAGTGATCAGAGCTACAGCAGGACAGGGCTCTCTGGAGAAATCACCTTCCCCCTGTCTATTGACAGATTCCTCTGTTCAGCATCAGACGGGCTTTGTCCCATCACAGGCATCCAGGCCTTGGAAGGAGCCACCAATTAAACCTCTTGAGCTGGTAAAATCTGAAGCCACTTTGGAGTGTCTGTTCTGATTAGGCAGGATGAGAGGAAGCCCATCACCCTATAGGCCCTGCTCCCTGGTCTCAATTTTCTCTCTTGCCTCCACCAGGTGCGAGAGGTGTGAGAGGAGCTTCACGCAGGCCACCCAGCTGAGCCGACACCAGCGGATGCCCAATGAGTGCAAGCCAATAACCGAGAGCCCAGAATCAATCGAAGTGGATTAACTGATTGACTGGTTGGAATTAAACTGCAAGGAAAGTCATGATTAAATGTCACGGACACTTAAGCAAAACCAAAGATTTCCTCTGAGCAACTTTCAATCAGTCCCAGAAAACCAAAAGCAGTAATAAAATAAGTAAGATGTTAAGAGATATTGATCCTGGCGTGGAAGTCAAACCAGGAAAGAGATTATTTATTTATGACTAGGGATGAAACTTATTTCAATAGACAACTAACCTGGAATGGCTAACATTTCCAGCCTCACCATGTATTTGCTTTGTTTCTAAAAAGCTTTTTTTAAAACTGTTATTTAATACCAAAGGGAGGAATCGTGTGGGTTCCTCTGCCTACAATTGTGACTAAAAATGCACAGGGACTTGTTTCTCGTTGCACCTTTTTTAGTAGCATGATCAAGGGGACCCACTGTACAGCCCTTCTTCCTGCTGTTTCGGTTTGGCCTGGCCTGAGGCCCAGAGGGGACCATGGAAGCAGAAGTGGGAGCCTTTGCTACGTCAGTGTCATCTTCAGCCCAAGAGGCCTTCCATTTCTGTGCTCTCCAGGCGCACTGTTCATTCACTTTCATTCATCGGCCTGGTCTTGATGCAGGAACGCCTGGAAAAGAAAGAGAATGGTTTCAATTCCAAAATCCAAGGGGGAAAAAAATGGAGGACTTACTTTATCGTGTCAGGATTTCAAAAACATTTAAAATGTATGGAGCTTCATATTGCAGTATATTGTTCCGAAGCAGCTAGTTGAGAAAATTTTGTTTCCGTAACGTTTTAGATTAAAAAAAATGAAAATAAAGTTCTTCGGTATGAAGCTGACTATAAGGTATTAGGTTTCAAGTACTTTTTTGTTGTTGTTTTGAAAGTGGTTGAATATTTAAGAACCCAGTCCAATTGTCAAGGGCCTTGTAGGCAGTGTCATCTTCCTTCCTCATATAGGGGAGTCTGGGAGACCCATGCACTTGATCCTGAGGTGGGAGAAACACTTGTGCAGAAGATAAACCTGACAAAGAGACACTAAGTGGAGGAGCCACAGTCAGATTATGGTTAGAACAGACTTCCCAAGAATTATCTTGTCTTCCCCTGCAGCGCTTGATAGCATTCTGCCTTCAAGATTAATCAATTGAAAGAGAAAGAAATATGTACACAATCTCATTATTCTTTGGCTGTGAGTGCTAAAAAAGTGAATTTAACTTCAGCTAGCCTTATTATGGTGGTTTAACAATGGTGCTAAACAAAAGTGGATCACATTCCATGAAATGAACTAACATCTCCAAAGAATGCCTGTTCTTGGAACTCTTGGTCCGTTAGCGCTGAGCATCATCTCAGAGACTGAGTCTACCTCCATGACCAGTTCAGATAAAGCCAAATAGTTTTATCTAAAGTGCTCAATGGCAGAGATTCCTGTTTATAGAACTCTTGTCACTTGATAGCAAGACACAGCCTTTTAAGGAACTCTTGATTATTTAGCCCTCTCACTGTTTTCCCTCAGTGAAATTCTGAGACACATAGCCCAAGTTAATAGTAAAAGGCAAAGATTCCATGTGGTTTCAATTTACTCTATTAGCATGTATTTGGTTTTCAAGAAATTTACCTTCCTTTTAGTTTTACACCCCTGTTCTTTAGCTCCCAACTGTCATTCCATTTAAAGTAGAATAAAGCAACACCTTGGTAATTGTAGGATTTCTGGTATTGCAATGGTATAGTTTGATTACTAACTGAAAGATAGACAGCTACTTTGGAGGAGAAGGAAAAAGTTGGTGAACCGCTCCCATAAAGATTACAGCCTTGGAAACTCTCTGGGCAATTCTGTTTGGTCCTATAGGGTTGGTGGGATTTGGGATTAACTTGACTACAATGGTTCGTTTTTTTGGTTTTTACTAATTTTGTTTGTATTTATGAATAATTATATGTGAATAATCTCTAGTGCTGTGAGTCACCAAGAGAAACGGTTAATTTTGACCACTGTTTCTCAATCTCTTAGAATTTCCCCCTGATTCTTATTGGCTCAATTTCATGGAAGTCAGCAAACCCTCTTTGTAACTGTTGCTGGTTGAAATCTTTCCCTCTGGTAGACAATAATATGTTCCAATTTTACAGTTCCCTGCCCTAGGTGATAGAGACATTTGTCAACAATGTGCATCCTTGGGAAGTGTGGAAAGAATATGTAGCCATGTTAACCCTAAACCTATTAGAAAATGACAGATCAACTATGAAGATGAGCAAACTGGTTGTATTTCTTGGAAATGATAACATGACACTCATGTGTATGTTTCTCATGTTTTTCCAGTGAGAAAAATCAGTTCAGCCAATTGCTCATTTTACAATGAACACATTGTACCCCACTCAGTCCTTAGCGGTTTCACATGAGAGAATGAGAGGCCATTGCTCCTCCCTTGCCATCTGGTAAGGGAATGATTTTCATAACAGTTATCTCTGCCACTGAGATGGCTTTACTAGCTGCTCCCAAACATGTACTGAAAGTAGCAGTAACTGCTACACCAAAAGTTTCTTGTAGCCATCTGCTGCCATTAAGTCTGTTTTTCTCCTCTACTACTACGCTTAAGTGCCAGCTGTAGAGTTGTTTTCAACTAAGCTACCCTGTATAGGGTTTCCAAGGAGTGGCTGGTAGGTTTGAACCACAGACCTTGCAGTTGGCAGTTGAGTGCTTAGCCTACAGTGCCACACAGGATTCCTCTACTACTAAAGGAGATTTTTAGCATACATTTCCCACCAAATTTAGTAAGAGAATATTCTCTGCTTGACAAACACAAAATTGGATATTCTGATTTTTGTAGGCATCTGGGGACATTCACAAGTTTCACATACTGAGCCATTGCCAGCTTCAAACCATCTAGCCTTGGCCATCTGTCCATATGACAGGCCTAAAAGAACCAGTTACCATTGAGTTGATTTCAACCCCATGTGTTTCATAGAGTAGAATTGTGTTCCATCGGGTTTTCCGTAGCTGTGATAATTTCAAAGGAGACCATTAAGTATTTCTTTCTTCTGAGCTGCCTCTGGGTATACTTGAACCACCAACCTTTTGATCAGTAGTCCAGACCTTAACAATTAGCACCATCCAGAGACTCCACTATGGGCTTACGTCTGCAAATTGAGATTTGAAGAGGCACCAAGATCATTTGGGCACCAACTGCTTATAATTGAAGTATATGCTGGAGAAAGGACTCTATTTGAAAGCTCACAGCAATTGCTTTGGCCATTTCAACTTAAAATTGACAGGTAATCTCTTAGATCACAACAAATGGGCAAGTTTTCCTTAACTAGCAACTTCCTAATAGTAATGCTGTAAACAGAATAAAAGCTCTGAATCCTTAAGGAAAGAGGATACTATCAGAGCTGAATCAGTGTTTGGTTCTTGAAGTAATCCCTCTATGTCCTTTTCTCTCAGTGGAAACAGAATTGTGTATGTATATATATAGAGAGAAAGAGTCCTGGTGTGGTGCTGTGGGATAATTCACTGGACTGCAAAGTTTGAACCACAAGGTCCATGGTTCAAGCTTACCAGTCACTCCTTGGAAATCCCATATAGGGTCCCTATGGGTCAGAATCGACTCGATGCACTTAACAATATATATATATATATATGTGTGTGTGTGTGTGTGCATGTGGTGCTATACAGGGTCACTATGAGTCAATACTGACTCATATATTTCAGAATAGGAGCTCAGTAGCTCCATAGGATAAACACTGGGCTGTAGATCACAAGGTCAGTGTTTAGAGCTCACCAACCACCCCATGGGGAAAGATGAGGCGTTTGGCTTCCACAAAGATTTAAAGCCCTGGAAACACTATACCGGGTTACTATGAGTCAAAACTGACTTGATGGCATTTAACAAGAATAGCATTTCAGAATAAGAATAAAGAACTACCACCCTAGCATATGCTAACTTGTCTAAGTAAGAGTCTAAGCCAAAAGGGTTGTTAAGTACTGTTGAGTCTATTCAGACTCATAGTAACCCTTCCTAGGTTTTCTGAGGAGCGACTAGTAGGTTTGAACTGTCAACAGTGCAGTTCAAACTGACCTTGTGGTCCAGTGCTTTATCCTAACCTAAGTAACCTAAGGCAAAGTTGAATATTTTCCCCAGGGAATGTATATGAATTATTTAAAATAGATGCTACATCTTGGTTTTCTTTAGTCTGTCTTTAAATTTTTTTCATTGGAAGGAGATGTGCTTTTATAGTTATTGTAAGGGTAATTATAACTGTAAAACTTAGTCTTATATGATTTCTATAACTTGATTCAATTAGTAGATATTTACTAAGTATCCATCCAAGTGTTAGTCTGTGTGGAAACTATATAATAAGAGGTTATAATATCACTTCTGTCCTCTTAGGTTACTTACCGCATTATGTTGGAGAATGACATTTATTGGACTATATTGGAGAAACTTATGATTTATTTGATTATGTTGGAAAAACTTAATTAGTCCATATTTACAAAGCTCATCTGGGTTACATCAAACATTTACCACTCATCAGATTTTTCCATCAGTTGCTTGGTTGATTGCCTCATTTCATTTATTCAACAAGCACTCTTATTCCCTATAAAGACCCCATATTAGGTGTTTGTATAATCAGCATTATTTAGGTAACTGTTAGAAGATAATATTCTCCTCCTAAGTGGCTTGCTAATGTTGTTGCTAAATGCCATCAAATCAGTTTCAACTTATAGTGACCCTATATTGGGTTTCTGAGGAGTGAATGGTGGGTTTGAACCACCGACCTTAGTCCTTTAGACCACCATCTCAATGACGTTTTCAAGACTGTTGCAACTAGGAGAATCAAAGAGATGGTAACTCAGGTAGCGACCGAAAAGTAGTGTATTTCAAAACAAATTAATATGCTCAACTTGGTTGTCTTCAGTTGAACCACCAGAGATCAGGATTAAGGTCAGAGGCTGAGGGCTTTTATGTTCCTATTCCAGTGATAAGGAAACAAATGGGGATGGAGCTGAGTTTTCACAGGGAGGGGACTTTGCAGACCCTGGATGGGACAGAGTTGCTTCATTAGCAACAAGCCTTGGGATCTCTTATCCCCAGAGTGTGGCATGGTGCTCTGGGTGAGGGAATGAGGAGTGCACCAAAATGGTCTTCTTGAGAACATACTTAATTGTACTCAGACGCTTCAGAGAGCACTGTCAAAGTGAATATTCATTGGTGGCTTAGAAATGGCAGTCATTTAGCTAAATTTTGTTTTCAAGTCTTGATGTCAAAACCTTAATGTACTAAATATGGAGAAACTTTTTCTTTAATAGCAAATCTCTAAGGTCCCAGATTTCTGGCACATCATTGCAAAAGCAATTGGTCATTAAATTTGTTCATTTAACAAACTAATATTTCATTGCTTTTCATAGTAGAAATATCGTCATTGCAGTTTGCACTTGGTTGCTAATCTATGCTTGGCAGTTTGACCCCCGACCTAGCAGCATTGCGGAAGATAGACCTGGTGATGTTTTCTAAGGATTATAGCTAAGAAAACACTATGGAGCAGTTACACCCTGTAACACATGGGGTCACTATGGGTCAGAATTGACTTGAGCACAACTAATAGCAACAATTTTAAACAAAACATCTGCTGAATTATTTAAAATTAACAATAGAATATCTTATAAAGTAGAGAATTTCCATAACAGCCTGGGCGTCACTGGGTCATTCCGAGCATGCCCAACAGCCTTGTATATAGGAGCATATCAGTTTTTCTCGTATTAAGCCTGCATATATCTACAAACACTAGAGCAGGAATAATAACTACACTAAATAAACACATTTTAGAAAATGTTTCTGTTTTCTTTTCT